AAAAAAAAAAAAAAAAAAAAAAAAAAAAAAAAGGCAGAGATGAAGTTCATTGCCCTTTGTAAAATGTCTTACCAATGACCCAGAATCCCTTTTCAGGTAGGCCTGAGTGGAGGAGAGCTATTATACTTTGCTTTCTTGATACCTCATTGTGGGGGCCATAAAGTGGGGCACTGAGATCTCCTTCAGGAGAGCTTGCTGCTGGGACCATAACTGATTGACAAATGTCTAGCTGCCTCACCAGGGATGGGCTGAGACACCTGACTGGGTTTGTACCAAGGCCACACTACTCTGGGCTGCTCCCAGCTAGTGTCCGGACATAGTGCAGGTACCAGAGCAGGGCCATTCCACCTGACGTGGGATTCTTCAGCAACTCCCCATTAACCTGGCCTCTCCTCTTCCTCAGGAGTCAGATTTGCATCCTGTACTGAAGGCTGTCCCCACCCAGGACCACTTTATGACTTTTGTGGGCCCTAAATACTTTCACAGCTATGGGCCCATTCCTCTATAAAAAATATTTAAAATTTTACTTTATGACTGCATTGGTATAAATCTAGGCTTAATTTGTTATTATTATATTTGTTATTATTATATTCATTTTTTCCTTCTGATTTTAAAATAAATAAAATTAAAACATTTTTAAATGTCGTGGCTCTTAGACACTGTGCCTACTGTGTCTTATGAGTACTTTGGTCCCGTCCCAGCTACTGTGGCTCCTTCTTCCTTAGTCCTTCACAGCCACTTCCCTCAATAAATCCCTTTCCTACCTACTCGCTCAGGGTCTGCTTCTTGGAGGACCCAAACTGACACAGCTATGCACAGGGAAATCACACCGCCCACGGAGAGGAGCAGCTATCTCCAAAGATTCCAGGAGACTCTCAGTGAGTCTGAGAAACTTCACAAATCCACTTGAAACTATACATTCCATTTCTGAGTGCGCAATAACTGTGCTGACCTAGAGAAACTTCTCAAACCCAGCCCCATCACAAATTCATTTTTCTTGCAGTTGACAGACATCTGATAGTCTTCTTCAAAGGACAATTACTCACCTGCTGTGTGGACAATATTTTAATCTGTGCATTTGCAGTCAAAGTGCCTCAATAACAACTCATGCTCAAGATGCTAGGCCAAGTAAACCACAATCAAATCTGTGATCCAGAAAGCATCCAGCAAACACAATGTGACCTGCCCAAAGTGAGTCAGAGAGGCTGCTGAGAATCAGACAAGACTGCTGACACCAAGTCTCACACGGAACCACTAGACGAGACCACAGTGTGTTGCCCCCTTTTCCTCTCCATCATTTGTTTGTTGACAAAGTTGGGTGCTGTTTACTGACAATCTGAGTAACACGAAGTTTCTCACTGGGAAACATAAGGTAGCTCATCACACGTTTATCATCTCAGCTGAAGGGAGGGGGATGATTCAGAAATCACCATTCAGGTGTCTGCCCCAGGAGGCTGGGCTGGAGGAATGACAACCAACCCAGGCTGAGTATGTCATTGGGTACAATCTGCACTGAGGAAGGGGAGCCAACAGTTGGTTGGGTGCAGGTGCCATTTTATGCTTCTTTCCAAGGAGAATAAAGAAGGTGGCCTGGAGTTCTTGGGAAATTACATCCTGTGTCTGGCATTATGAGAATTTCCCTGGCCAGTTCAATGAGACCAACCCTCCTATCTGGCCCAGGGTTCTAGAGCTTCCAGAACCTCTAGGAGAGGCAATTTTTATCAGATCTTTAAGATTTGAGTAGGATGAAATTAGGTATATAGATGAACTTTAGGTAGACGGGATCCTATAGTCAACCAAATCATTGGGGATCCTGCAGGCCACAGAGATTTTAAAGTATTAAAGCTTTAGCTGAAAATGAGACTATATGGGGGGGCAATGGGTTCCCCACAAGCTTAAGAACTGAAAAGTTTATTGCCACTCTTCTACAGTCCATGCTGATTTGCCACACACACACTGGAAATCAATCTATTACTACCTAATTCTGGATTTTAAACAAGGTTTCTAGGAAAAAAATAATTTCAAACTCAATGGAAAGATCACAGTTCTCAGTAACGCCAGCCCAAGGTCAGGCTTCTTCCAGGACAATGCCTACAGTGATGTATTGCATGCTTGTTTCTGAAGAAGACTTCCTTCCTTTCCTGCAGCAGCCTCTGTGTTAGCTAGACTTTTCATGTGCAAGCAGCAGCCCCTGGTAGTCAGCCGTTTCCCCTTGGGTTAGACAAAGAACTTTGAGGGCAGTTCCTGAACGTTTATTTTCAGTCTGGCTAACCAGCATTCCCCAGAGATTGCTCTTGGCTCAGCCATGATGCCAAAGGCATCCTCTGACTCAGATGTGACTCGGCCCCATTGGCCACATTTGTACTCTGTTGCGTTGTGTGTTTCAGTGTTGCTGGTTGTCTGGACAAGCAGTCTCCCCGGTAAGGAAGACAACTTGGGCTGAAGAAATGCATGTCAGATGGACATGCCCCCTGGTCTGCTGCCACAGTGAGGAGACAGCACCCACAGACATCAAGTTAACACCCCAGCTTTCCCCTCCATGAAGCCAACAGTCAGCTTCACGAACCTTTAGTTCTAGGGGTCTGGTGGCTTTTACTATACTGGAGTCAGCCTCTAGTCTTTTAATACAGGTTTCAAGGGCAGTGTAAATGTAAATAACTTAAGTAGGACTTCTCCTAGTGTCTGCTGAGACCTCAAATTCAAGAACAGGTGACAAGGACCTCTACTTTCTAAAGGGTGGTGTAGACCATCACCATGCTGAGTGGCAGCACTTGGCATCTAAGCCAGCTCTACCAGTGTTAGCCCATGTCCCCCTCCAGCCTGCATACATGAGAAGGCTAGAAGTGGACCAGAGAGACTGGAAACAGGGCTTCTTTGAAGAGAGCTGTCATGGAGCTCACCTTATGTGTTTCCTTTTGACGTCTCAAGGGAAGGGAAGGAGATTGCCTCCCCTTTCTTACCTTGACCCAAAGGAAGGGGTTTAAGGGAACCATTCATGGAATAAGTGGAGGAGGGAAACGGCCATGTAACCTCATCCCTTCCCATATGTGCAGAAATTTCTGGGCTCTGCAATTGCCTTGGGCCTGGAGGTGAGGGTGGTCATAGTTCTTGAGGGAACTTGATCAGAGACAATTGAAGTTTGTGGGGCACCAAGACTGGTGCCTGCCACTTGACTGCATACATGTAGAGGCCAGCAGCTGACTGAGGGACCTGTAGGGCAGAGCAGAAAAGGAGGATTTTGTTGCTAGTGAGATGCATGTCCACAGTTCAACGGGGCAAAGATACTGAGTTTTCCCTTAGCTTAAGTGAGCAATTTGGAAGGTAGCTTGGCTACAGTACCTTTCTCTAGAGGGCTGCCTGCCAGCATGGTAAGTCAAATGGAAAGGGGCGGGCAGGTGTACCATGACCTAAGGGGGATTCACAGATGGTCAGCCAGAGAGGGCATCGTCCCTGTCTGGGAACAGTAAGGTGGGATTCCCCATGGGCCGTGACAGAATGGCCAGAATTTGGCCACCTACGTGAAGGACATGAACTCCAGGGTAAAGAGCACCAGGTAAGTAAAACTTTCTTCCCTGGCCCTTTCCTTTCTGCCCCATCCCCCAGCAAGCCTCCCACACCCTGACGGCGCCAGAAGCAGCACAGTGAGTGAGAGAAGAGGAGGGTAAGAGAAAGGTGGAGACAAATGAAGAGACAAAATACAAAACTTTCTCTCCACTGCTGCTCCGTGGTCTAGTCTGGGGGAAGATCTGAATTGGATGAGACTTGTCTGAACTTAACCCTTGAAAATGAGGCTGTTCATTAATATCTGAAAGTGACTGGAAAGATATAGAAAGTCATCCAAGGACAGGAAAAGGAGATCCAGCAGAGTTTGCACAAAGGCAAGAGTAAGAAAATTAATAAAGCTGCTTCCCTACTGAGCGCTTATGCTTTGAACCAAATGGATTATTAATGCAGAGAGCAAATGAATAGGTGCTGTTAAGATGATCCATCCATCTCATGGTCTTTGACGGAATAAAATAATTCTGACCTTATCTTAGGTCTTGAAACCTTGCCCAACTACTTCCAGAGTGACACCATAAGCAGGCTTGATTTTAAAAATTGCAGCAAAGAAATGAATTTCCATCAGTATTTTTCCAGCAATTATCTTTTTGCTAAGGCATGTAGAAAACCATCATGATCTGAGCTGGCAGGAGGTTACCTCCTGAAAGATTTTGTTTCACTTCATAAAATGTGAACGAAGAAAGAAACCCAGATGCAATGAATCAGAATTCAGCAAGACAAAACAGGATAAAATCACATCCCCTCCAGTATTCCAAAGATCTCCCACCACAATTCTTATTACGTTATTTTGGCCATTCCATCATTAGACAAGAATTTGGAGACACAGTGCTCATTTAAAAATCTTGGCTTGCTTTTTGGGCAAACTGTTAAAAACACACAAGCAAATGAAGGAAAACTCATATCTACATCACATTTCTCACATATTACATTCACTGTTTCCTTTTGTACAACACAAAGACCAGCACCCTCCTGGGAAGATTTCCCTGAACTCTCTGCAGTTTTAAAGTTCCTGAGCAGGAAAGGCTCCCCTCGGTCCTGCTGTTCATTTTCCACTGTTTACTTGAAAGCAAAGGCATAAGTTGCTTCCAGCATATACCGAACATCAGGTGAGTTCATACAGAGCAAACTTTGCTGCTGCGGGCAGGCATCGGAACCATTTAATCTTTACTTTGCTACCCAAATTGATAGAGCTCAGGGAAAATCAATGTACCCAGTAGAAGGCAAATGTAATAAGAGAGGCCATCTCTTTTTTTTCAGAGCATTGGAGGGTGTGTGTGTGTGTGTGTGTGTGCGTGTTTCCCAAGAGTGACTTTGGTTA